TATTTGTAATCCTCATAAAATTTAGAACAAAGTGGCTATTTGCAAATATTTATAGGCCTATAATTTATCCAATTTCATTGAGCGCGAACTTATTTATTTTTTTTTTCCAAAATATTTTTTTTTACCTAAAAAAGTTTTTTGAAACAAATGTTCCTTATGTTTTATGTATAATATTGAAGCCCATGATTTTCCAAACAAAATGGTATATAGAACAGTAGAATTAACATTGTTTTAAGCTTCTCAGATCGGTTTTAATGAAACCTTGCAAATGTGCCAAAAATAGGCGGACATTAAGGCCTAAACTATGGACACTCGGAGGGTTAATTATTTCCTAATTTGATGATATTGTTAGCTTTATTTCCTGGACTATATAAGGAGTGGGGGGAGCGATGAGTCATCCTAGTTACGCGCGTATCCTATAGTAGCCTCCGTCTAACAAAGTTTGTAACATTTTTAGGGCAGTAAAAGCAGTTTTGTGTACACACAGCTTTATGTACAGTATTTTTTTTCAAGTGTTTTGTGTTCAAACTATTATTGTCAAGACAATGTAATGTACCGTAAAAAATCTGTGTTTTTGTAATGTGTAATTGAGTTAAAAATTGTTATTTAAAAGATTTGTTGTTGTTTGAGCAAAGTAAAACTTACATAAAAGGATAAATTCGTTTTAATATCCTTATTAAAAGTTTATAAACAGGCTTCAATGCATTGTTTCATATAGAGCCGATTTGGTCGTCATTTAGTTATTAATTACACAAAATAATAATACAATTAATGTGAATAGCAATTTCATGTATACGAATGTTACCGTACTCGACTTATAATTACAATAAATATTGTGCATCAATCACTGTGTGTGTATGTGGTTGCTAGAGAGGTGTAGTCGAAAGGCAGCGGTCAAGCGTCACGTCGGCGGGACACAAATTTTGCTTCCTCTTCTACCTGATTCATTTCCAAAAGTATTCTTAAAAACAACTTTTTGTTAAATGTATATCATGATACAACTCAAGCTTTCAAACTTTGCCGCTGACAAAACTTTCCTGACCAAAAAATAAAAAAAAATCCAGATCACTTACTTTTTCATGTTCTAATTCTCAATTTTAAAATTTCTTTGAGTTTTAAAGGTTGTTAAAATTTAAAAAAAAATATTATTTTTAATTACAGCCTTACTATTAGCGAGAAGCACTAATTTATAGTAGCTGTACCAAATTTGGTAATTTTAAGTCGACTCTAAGTGTGTCAAATCATTGTACATTTGAAAAAGGTGATCTACCGCTATATGTAGCAGTTGCCGTCCCAAACTCCATTCCCGTGCCAGCAACTGTAAGACGAATATCACTCCGCTGCTAGTTTCGACCGGTAGAGTGCAGTCGGACTTGTTGATATTTTGGAGTAAGAAACTCGCTGCAACACTCTCGTTTGGCCCCAAATTTTTTTGGTTATTTTTTATCCATCCGATTTTAATATATATTTTTTTATATTAATCTTAATGAAACTTGTAATGCTTTTTGTTTTTTTTAAATTATACATAATTGCCTTAAACATTACCAAAAATATTGTAAACTTATCCATGTTTACTAGTTTATTTTTAAAAACATAAATTACTATTTCTAAAATTTGGTCCACGAGTTGCATTTAGGATTATATTACCTTTCAAACGACACCACATTTGTAATTTTACGTTGAAAAATAACGATAAAATTAGGGTATATTTGTTAGCATTGGTCTTATGGAGGATCAATCCAATATGGCCGACGGGGGAGCGTGGCTTAATAAAAACTCACTTTATTAATCTCCCTGTAGCAGCAAACCTAGGTACTCATGAAACCTAATGTTATTGAAATTGATTTAATTGAAAATTAAATCTGGGGAATAGAAACTCACTTAATCAGCAGATTTGCTGTGATGGGGGTATTTTTGCCTATTCCATGAAATGCAGAGACGGTAGTGCAATATCCTTGATTAAAAGGAAAGTGAATAGCAGGGGCGGTTCCAGGGCTGAGTTTCGGGCTATTACATTGGGGGTTACCGGGGGGTCTGGGGGGTATGGAATACCCCCTTGGCAGACAGAAATTTTGAAAATTATGTGCTGAAATTAGCGTTTTCAAAGCTATTTTGAGACCCTAGCTTTAAGATTTAAAAAAATGTAACATTTGAGGTTGTTGCCTTATTAAGAATAATTGTGGAATTTCATGAACATTTCTTCAGCAACAAAGTGCAAACAGTCAAACTCAAACCTAGTTTTAGAAGTCTAATAGTTTTATACAATGTAAAGTCGTGTAATTAATTGGTTTGTGTCATTGAGCAAATCAACGTGTTCAAGAGATTTTGGGCTTTATGAAAAACTATACAAGTTGGCCTTTATAATCTATTCCTCTTTATCTACCTCTAACTTTGCACATAGTTGTCCTAGACTAGGACGACTATGTGCGGTCCTAGTTAATTTTTTGAGGTTATGTACACAGATTTAATAGGCTACTTTTAAAATATCATTAAATGCATATGGGAGCTCAATAATTACAATTGTATTGCGTTGAAAACAAACCTCTGCAAAATGCTTGTAAGGTATCAGCTTGAAACATTTTTTTCAGGCTCGGCTAATTTAGGAAATTGAAATTGTAGGTTCAATAAGGCGCCCATGGTCCATTGAATTTACCAACAGAGACCTATAATCTATTAAAGTTGTGCTTACAATTACTGCATTATTACTACTTAAATACTGACGAAGAACGCATAAATAACCAATCACAATGCAAGGGTATAAATCAACTAGTGACAACGTAGCATAAATTCCACAGATGTTCAGTTCACTCTCACTGCTGCTCTACTCAGTGTCTACTCGCTAGTCGCAGTGTTGTAGTCGGCTGGTCGCTACTACTACAACAGCAGTGCTGCTACCACTGCACTGCGGCTATTGGCTACTCGTCACATGGCGTGATGGTGATGAGTCATCGATGTGTACTACGCGCCGGCCTAAAAACATTACCCGTTTAACTACGAGCTGGCAGCACCGCGCACCTGTGGCGAATGTGTGTGGCCCAGGCTAGTACAACTTGAGTACGACGATGACTATCGCGCTCTCACTCCCATACTATTTTCCGCGTAATCGCCAGCTCCGCCTTACCTGTGCTACCTATTCTTGTCCTAATGAATACATCTGTACTTGATAGCCTACTCACATTAAAAACTTTAAAAATAAATAAATTATTATGGTTGGAGTTTAAGTTTGTTTATCTACATTCTCTCTGGAACCGCCCTTCCTTGGTGAATTGGTTGCTGCAGATCTCTGAAGGGAGTTGAGAACACTGAAAGATTATTTTTAATTTTAGCTTTTAAGGGCTGCCATTTTTAAACGACTTGATCAAACTCGACCATTGGTATACCTAGGCTGAGATAATGTATTCAAGCACTTGTGTGCCAAATTTAATGAAAATCGGTTCAGGCATTCGGTCATTATAGCCAATTCATGGCGACCCAGCATCCTCTAACGACCGCCATCTTGATGACGTAATTACGGACGACCGAGGTCCTTAAAAATTGGGGTCTGGGCGGTTTTAGGTTCAGAAACTTGTATTCTATAACCACCTAAAATTGCAGCCTCCCCGCCAGAACTGAAATATTCTGCCACTATATGCAACTATACAACCCCACTAATTTTTTTGTATGAAAACTTTATAACTATAAGGCCCCTATTACACGAGGTAGCCTGGCGACGTCGCCAGCGACCAAACTGGCTACTCAGCTTGTCAAGGGTCATTGATTCTTATGGATGTTATTACACGAGGGTAGCCAGCGACGCAGCCACACTTTGGCGACCGACTGGCTACCGAGCCCCGTCGCCACTGTGGTAGTCACTGGCTACCCATATTGACGACGCTGCGTTGTAGCATATGGAGCTTATTACACTAGGTCGCCAGTATTACGTCGCCACTCGGTTAGTTCATATCGCGGGGGTACTTGCACACTGTTGTGTTGCGTTCTGTTGTGTTGTGAGTGTGTGAATTGTTCACTTCAGTTGATAAAATGTCTATATAATCCTTTATGACTCGAAGAAACTGGATTGTGACATACGAAAATAATTGAAACATTTTTTATTGTCCGCACAGAGCTCATCAAAAAGGGTGTAATATAACCCTTTTGATTCTCTTGCACTAAGCATTGGATGAACGTACATTTTTCTCTTCCTTTGCCTCCTTTTCTTCAGAAGTAACAGAAGGAGAAGATACTTATAATCACTCATTATTCACTGTAAACACCGCTCATAACAAGTACAAGTGCAAGACAAGCACTCACAACAACGGCGCCACGGCGGTAAAATTCTGGCTACTCAACTGGCTACTCAACTGGTTATAGGTTTGGTGGCCAGTGCGTCGCCAGCTACTGCCGCTGGCGACGTCGCCAGGCTACCTCGTGTAATAGGGGCCTAAGATAAACATGTATAATATAAAAAACATCATATGACTGAAAACAGAACTGCATTATTAAATTTCTGTTTCACACTGTGGTAATAAAACCGAAAACTGGTATGGCTTAATGTGTTAAGCTAAGATGTATTTTTAGATAATTAAGTAGAGATTTCTTTGTTGTACATTATTTCTGAAGATAAATTTCCATTGATTGTGATTTTTTGCAACAGTTAACATGCTATAGCATATTTGTGAATCCCAAAATACAAGATTGAAGTATAAGCACCAGCAGAGTGACCAGTGGGGGCCATAGCCCCTTAAAAAAAAAAAAAAAACTTAACTCGCTATCTCGACACTACATTTTATCTATCACTATCTCACTCAGTATCTCACTATACTCTGCGAATTTCTAAACAGATTGTTGAGACAAAAAAGTATGTGTTTTAAAAGATAGTTTTGGCCTTTTTGACAGCCATTAAAAGCATTTTACATCAATGGGAGGTGGGCCTATTCCTGAAACCGCAGATACGGGTACCCCAGACATTTTGAATTTTATTGATGAACATGTAGATTGTACAGTAACTCCTTTGTTTACAGGGCAGTGTGATGGAGGCCAGGGACGCTACAATGCTCGTGGCTTTGACCTCAACAGGAACTTCCCAGACTATTTCAAACAGGTATTTTATTAATGTAATAGCTTTACTCGTGCCTTTATACTGTGGAAATTACAAATCTATTAATACCTGAAGGCAATTTCTACAATAAAACACTACTCCTCCCAGGGCCGGTTCTAGGAATTTTTCAGAGTTAAGCGAACACCCGAATCAGCGCCACTTAGAATTCCCCCACCCCACCCACTACCCCCACAACCCATGAACATTACTTAACTCTATTTGTGAATTTTTTCCCAAAGATTTTGGGAAGAACTTTTTTATAAGTTTAGGTTAGAAGAATACTGCAATAAAAGACTGTTTATTATTCCCAGAAATTTAACATTTTTACACTTTTACTCATCATATAAACTTGAGCAAAACCAAGGCCACGCTAAAAAAAAAAAAACAGGCCGTCGTAATGCTCGTCAAGCATGACGTCTCGATAGAAGACGGAAATGACGTAATGTTTGCCGTTTGTGATCAGCTGCTTGTTTTAATCTTTCCTTGGAAAATAAATAAATGAATACCTACGTCATTTCCGTCTACTATCGTGACGTCATGCTTGACGAGCATTACGACGGCCTAAAGTTAACAATTTATTTCTAAATATGAAAACAGTTTTTACAGGATAACTTGGATACGATATAAGTTTTTATAAAGCCTATTAATCAAAAACAGGTGTAGGTGGATGACAAGAGAGGAATTTTTAATTGAACACATTAAACATGTAGAAAACATGAAAAACCAAATGTATTACCTTGACAAAAAGAATAAAAAATTTTCAATTTGAATAGATTTGAATCTTGGCAAATTCTTTAATTGCTGAGTCGGTATCAATCTGGTTTAGAACATCATTGTTTTATTGCCATAAGTGATAAGCCAACAAAAAAAAAAAAACATACAACTAAAAAAAACAAAAACTTAAAGAGTGCAATACAACGTAATGCTCAGCTCTAGGAGGCTAGAGTTATCAGAGGTGGAAGGGAGGAAGGGAGGGTTGTTGTGACCAGGGTTGTGACAGTGGCGCTGCGCGCTTGCTTATCTCGAGCATGAGTCATGAAATGAAACCCACAGGCGCCGCGCTGTATGCTGCCGACTGCCGAACGTCAGCTCACTACAAATCGAAACTGCAAATGGCATTAAGTCCTTGAGTTGTAGTGCTGTACAAATATAGGCCCTACGCATTTTTCAAGTGCTGTTGGTACAAACAGAATAAATGCCTTTTTTGTGGTGCTTTGAATGCTTGAACTCTGAGCAAAAATAAACAAAATTACGTTGTTCACTTTAAAAAAAAAAAATTGTTCCGTTGGCGCCACTTTTTTGTGGCGCCATATGCGGCCGCGTAGTTTGCGTATGGGTTAAACCGGCCCTGACTCCTCCGTTAATAGTGGATGGATTTTTAGAAATAACATATCAAAGTGAAGTGGTTTTATGTAGACTTCCCTTTTCACCATTTCATCTTATGAATATCTTTGGGCTTTGCCCCTCAGGCCTACAAAGTTATATTTTATTCCTGAAGCAGTGTTTACATTAAACTAGTTAGCGGGCAGGTTATCTATCTGCCTCAGGTATAACTTGAAATAAACCAGAGGCAGGTAACTTGCCCCATAATCTGCCGCCTACTGGCAAGTTCATCATAGATCAGAAATAAACCAAGACCACACAAATAGCCAAAATGACCAAATTTCTTTTGATGACACTAGACACAGGGCCGATTTACCGAATAGGCACAGTAGTGGCACGTGCCTAGGGCGTGAGGCAATTGGCTTTTTTAGGGGAGGGGGGGTGCCAAAAAATTGGAAAATAAAAAGATGTTGGTGGTTGTATTTCCATGATATCGCGGCAAACTACTGATCATCCCTCACGGCCGTGTAGAAATCGTAATCGTCTCCCGCGATTGCGGCAAAATTCTGACTGTTTCCCGTGGTTGTGTAGACATCGTCTTCCATAATCACTGCAATATCATGAACATATCTCGCGGTCGTGTGGATATAATCATCATCACCATCGTCTTGCTCGATCGCGGTAAAATTGTGATCATCTTTTGCGGTGTAGTTATCGTCTCCCGCGGTCATGTAGACATAGTAATCGTCTCCCACGAATGCGGCGAAATGGTAATCATCTCTAAGTCTTCCGGTTGGCCAACCAACCAGTTTTTAACATAGGACCAACCATCCCATGTGGCCTAAATATAAAAACACAAAATAATAAAGATTTAGTTTTAAAAGCATATTTATCATTTCAGTGTATTGATTAAATACCGGTAGTTAATAAAATCAAATTTTGAAAAAAATTAGGAAAAAAATATCTTGCCCAGATGAGTCTCAAACCTGATACCTTCGATTTATGAGCCTCTTACCTTACCTCTGAACCATTTGTAATTGTTGATATTATGTGTTTTCAAGCAGTAAAAGAGGTGACAATTGCAATGGTCGCAATACTTAAATATTTTTGATACTATGATTCTGTTTAGGCTTCAAGTAGTTGAATATTTTTTCTGGGAGTTGGAGAGGATACTGGTATTTGAATATAGATTAATTAATTACCATTAGTAATGTTATTATCATTTTATTAATTTATTGTTATAAGATTAATTAACCTTCCCCTTAAATTGTTCAACTATTAAAAATTTTCTCAAATATGTTAAAGAATATAAAATTAAAAAAATATTTGCATTATTATTATATGTTAAGCAGGTGTTCCACCACTGTATCTAGTATCGCAACTATCACAACATCATCTGATTACATTTATTATGATCCAATTTTCTCAAAAATTGTTTTATATTCTGCTGCTATAGCATTTATTTTCTTATTAAATCAATCAATTTGTTATAGAATGTTTTATACTTAAATCCAACAAATGCCCAACGATTCTTTCCTTTGTAGGGCCAACGAATACAAGTTCCTGTTGGGTCAACGTTGGCAAGGCGTTAAAATTTCCATTTCCAACGTTGTGCCAACAATTTGTGCTACTTGGGTAAGATGTTTCTAATGTGTTAATGTAATTAGAACAACAAGCGTGGGCAGCCAGAAACTGATGCTGTTAAGGAATGGACCTCCAAGATACAGTTTGTACTATCAGGAGGTCTGCATGGCGGAGCCCTCGTAGCGAGCTACCCCTTCGATAACACACCCAACTCCAGTGAGTTATACGACATCTTTCAGTCCGGTAAATCACACAAATACCAAAATCAACTTCAGCTGGAGCGTGATTTTGGATTTGGTGAAAGCTTTTTGATAATTTTTGTTGAATCTATTGATAAACAAAATGAGGCAACATTTTACTCAACTTTTTATATAGCCAAAAATAGTCAAAATATACGTAAAATAATCTCCAACTTTTAAAGAGTCATAACAAAGTAAAAACGATTAAGTATATGACTGAAAACTCAAAAACATGTATATAAAAAAAAATTTTAATGACTACTATAGGCTATACTTAGAAAATTAATAGCTATCTCATGTAAAAATGAAATTATATGAAATTTAGCATAACCTAACAGTTTGTAACATGATTTGATGTCAGGAGGCCTAACCTTTTTATTTTTAATGTTTGTATGTCTTAGAGAAGGGGGGGGGGGTTAATAAGTGTGGTCTGATCTATATTCAGGAGTCTCACACCTAATTTATTTAGGCTGGCTACCTGTGTGCGTATTTTACCTCCTCATAAAAAAATGAATAAAAAATATAGTATATTTCTGTCTACTTAAATTTATTGTTTGGAACATTTTGGACGAAATGAAGATATTCTTCTTACACGCATAATAATTAGTTAACAAACAAAACAACAAACGTAAAATCAGTTGCTTCATTGTTGTCTACTTTTGAGAAAACCATTATCCCATCTTTTTCTTAGGAATGTTATGTGGTTCTCATTTTAAACAAATTATAAAAATAACTGTTATTAAAAAGGACAATAATAATCTGCCAAAATAATTAACGTATGTACTGATTTTAATTCTAATTCAACTTTCCTTCTAATACTATTCTAAACTGTTATTTGCTGCACTAAAGGAATATGCAGATCTTCACCATTATGTTCAGGTAATGATTGAGTGTGTTGCTTTAAACTGTATTATAAATATTTGTTGATTAAATTGCTAAAGCCTTGATGGTTTAGACTTCTCAAAATAGCAAGAGTAGTTTATTGTCAGTACCTTATTGTTACTGACATTTGAAATGCTTTCTACTGTTTTTGCTTTGTAACATAGTGCTTGGACAATGAAGTGAGGTGCTTGTGTTATTTTATTTTTAAAAGAAAAAACTTTAAAATCTTCTTTGTTAATTGATTGATGTGTACATATATTTTATTTGAAACAATTCAGTTTGTCTTTAGTTTATTTTATTAACTTATACTAGGCAACACCGAGGGTTTTCTTTAAAGAAACCACATTAAGGAGGAAGGGCCGTAGGCTACCAGAAGTTCAAAAATAAATAAATAAATAAAACATTACAGATAAAAATATGTTCATTCAAGGATAGCATGTTTGATTTTTATACTGGGTTTTGTTACGTTTGATTTTACCCAACATTTTTATTTTAATAAAAATGCCAAACAAACTGTTTACACTGAGGTTATGCATGAAGTAGAAAAGCTTCTGAGAAGCGTTTGGCCCTTTAAATTATGTTATCCTACTAATATTATAAATGTGAAAGTATGGATGGTTGTATGTACTCTGAAGTTCCATCATGTGAAAACTACTGGACCGATTGAGCTGACATTTTGCAGAAAGGTACTTGATAGTCTTGAGAAACACATAGGCAAATTACAGTTGTGAAAATCCTATATGGCTATGCCCCATAGGGCTCAAAGTTACCATGTTATTCTTATGAGTATCTATCTATAATATTAAAACGAAACAGTGTTTTTTTTTATTTCACAATTCTGAATCAACCACTCGACGGATTTTCATGATTTTTGTGTTGAAAGGAAGATAATTTTGAGAACTAGGGAATGTCGAAGCCATAAATTTAGTTTAGGGTCCCAGTTTTTTAGAAATTAAGATATAATTTTTAAAAAGTCTAGCAGCCGACGCTAAGATTCTAAACTAGCTTTTGGCATAAAATAATTTGCTTAACATAACAGCTGTAAACATTCAGCTTTTGTGTCACAAATTCAGCATTTGGATAAAAATGTAAAGACATACTTAGGGTTGACTTATTTATACTATGTGTAATGCAAATCATTGATACGTTTAATTCTTCTGTAAGAGGATGACGGATTAATTAAATTATACATAGTAAAATACTAGGATGTTCAAATTATTTTTTTAAAGCAATCTTTGTAGTCTTTGATTTGTTTTAGAGCAATATAATTTGTTTTAACTAACAGCTGGTTAAATATAAACTATGGAACTATGAGGTTATTTTATTTACTCTTATTTTGTCATTGATTATAGGAAATAAGTAAGATTAGTAGAGATAATTAGACCACAGTTTAAAATAGTATAGACCAAAATTAATTAAACCACAGTACAAATCGAGGCTCTGTACACGAGTCTTAATAAGAAAGGATAAATGCAAATTATTTTACTATTCCACTTTTCGAGGAAAGAATAGAAAAGAAGAAGAATTTACATGTTTTAATTCTTCATGGTAGCTTTTTTGTTTACAATTAATGTTTGTCTGCTTTAACTTTGTTTGGATTATATTGGTCATAAAAAGAAGATCAAGAATAATCAGGAATCACGATTTTAAATTACCACCACAACCTCAGCCGAGTTTTATACAAAGATTGAACACAACGTCAACATTGACCTAGGATACTGCAATTAGACAAACCATCCTTTTATGAAATCGTGTTCAGTGTGGTTATTTTTGAAAATATCACTTTTATTTCAACTATGAATATATTGTAGTTTAAATTAACTAATATGGGAAATTACGATGTACACTTATTCAATGAGGGTGGGTAATTATTAAGGTATGGGAAATTACGATGTACACTTATTCAATGAGGGTGGGTAATTATTAAGGATAGAACTGATAACGGTATGGATAATAAACATTGACAATTACGTCATTAGCTTTACTAGCGTGTTTACTTTTTATATTCCTGCTACATGTGACCAGTTCTTTTAGTAGGTAATCGTGAGTTCTTTTTTTTTCAAATGAATGTTATTTGAACCAAACAGCTGTTTCAAAACAAACTGTTATTGTTTTTAATTTTCTTTGTTTACACTTATTTATTTAGCAATTAATGCAGTGAAATTGTTAAAAGGATATGTGGGACAATTCATGTGTACTGTGAATTTTATTGGATATTATCGTTTTATTTTAGGTCGTTTCTATTCAGACCTACTGGAAATTGTGTATAGTAGTTGTATTGTGGTGATAATAATTATGGAAGAGGCAGGTATGCTATGGAAGGTGGTATCGTTGACTATAAGTCTATACACTTCTCAATTGACTATTACCTATTACTCTCCCTACTGTAGGCTACTTATGTGCGTCTGTGCGAATCGGCTGCAAATCTCACTTCAACGCTTTTCACATCGCAAAAATTGCAGAATTGCTGTTTTATTGTAAAATTATCGGATTTAAAATGCATATCGTATAGGCCTATGATGGAATAAAAACATATTTGGTCACACAACATTTGTTTACAAGATGATTTTTCACATTAAAACTGCAAGAAACTTTGTCTTTATATGTGTATACTAGCTGATCTGAATTGTACACGGTTTTAACTGACTACTGAATTCCCGTACGTAGGACGGGCTAACACACTCGTTCATATTTAAAAGGAATTAAAGAATTTTGCCAGGTGTTCAACTAAACAAGTTGGTGCTTTGACATTTAATAGCACTAAAAAGTTACAATGTTTACCAACAGGGTGCAGCACTATTATTTTTTTTGTGCATTTATGACAACTAACAGCTTATTTAAACTAAGCAGCAAAAAAAGCTGTAATACACAATGAGAACCTGTCAAAGTAGGATTGTTTACAGTTAAGTTTATGTTGAAATAATTTGTGATATTGTACGAATGTTTGATAATTTACATTTTTCTATTGTTTAGGTGCATTGGTAGAACATTATGTCTATGGTAGATGTATTATACTATAGCATAATTTAAATTTAAAGATCCAAATTTTCTCAAGCCGTGCCCTCTCCCATTGCAAACGCAGAGCACGAGCATTACTGCAATAAGCATTTTATACTTATACGCCAACCCCGTATGAAGGATGGTACACTACGCTAGTATATACCTCTGGGAAAGCTTTTTGAGATTGGTAGGGAATGTATAGAAAATAACATCTTCATAAAAGAAGAGAGGGATCAGTTCCATTGCATCTCTACATGACTAGTCTAAACGTCTAGTTGTCAGCTTTGCAATTTGAATCCTTAGAGGACTGTTTCAGCTTTACAAGCATTAAAACTTATACTAACACTGAAGAAAGTTAAATACATACATAAGAAAAGTAAAAAAAATCAAAAACATGTGTGGAACCGCTGCTAGATTAAATGATTACTGGAGTCGATTCAAAGATTATGAAAATAGTCACGATGTACATAACAGATCAATATAATCAAAATTTCTTGTAATTATCTTATCATTTTTCAAAAGCTGATCTTGTTTTTTAGTGTTTCTACAAATATTTCCCACTCATAGCCACATTAGGTTGTCCATAATAACGATTATAAATTTTAAAAATATGTATTATTTCTATTTCTTCTACTTGGTGGTTGTTCTATGACTTTCCTATGTTTCCATAGTTTGCGAATCGGCTCTTTCAATGATTGCTCAAGAAATTCATCACAGTGTTAATTCAGTTTTCTTTTTAGTATATCAAATTGTCCAGGCTTTCTCGCTTTTTTCCATTGTAATATTTACGCCAACCCAAATTAAAATAGTAAATATTTCATTTCAAACAAGTCAGTAAATAATTGTAGCACAAGTTTCCTTAAATTGCAACTAAAATATTTACAGCAGTTAAATTATCCAGCTTATCATAATGTAAACAAATAAAATGTTCTTCACAAGGATAACATGGGAACTTTAAAAGCCACTAGGACAGAGTCCATGGGACTTTTTTAATGTAAGGTCAGTTTAAAATCTTCACACCTAGACGAACATTTTGGTATATAATATGTGGGGTTAAATCTTAAAACAAAAGAGCCTTATTTATTGTTCACAAAGATTAATGTAGCATATTAAATAATACTAGCTGTGTGGGTTCTACGCACGGGGATCTTATAGTAGTCAGTTGAATGTGACAAAAATCACACAATGTTGGGTTTTTGGACATTTATAATTTTATTTCTTAAGTAGGTAGACCATGTATTCTATGAAAAAGTACCGGTATCAAGGATCGTCGTCGAAAAGGTTGTTATGAATAAGTAGGTAGGCGTACGTACCCAAGAGATGGGCTATGGGGCTATTGGGCTATTGGCTGTATGGTCCAGCGATTGGATCACACAGTGAGTAGAAACAGAAAGTGACACATTGGAAAAGCGAGTTTAGCATCATCCGTAAACCTCTGTTACAATCACCCACTGCAGTTGTGATTTTTTTACTTTACACTTCACATAATCGCCATTGAAGCGCCGTCAATAAGTGGAAACCTTGTTTGTAATCTACTCTATTGGCGACGATCTTTAAGTGTCCCAGAGCCCTATACAACACAGATTCAAGGTATTTTTTCTGGTTATCAAAACTCAAGAACAATTTTATACACAAAGAATTTCTGGTTCCTGACCTGCATGATGCCTAGTTATTTAATTTCATTTACGGTTACACAATAATATTGCACTTGTGCGAATAATGAATTCCTTATGTAAGAAAAACATTTTTAATCTCACTTAATTGGGATTTGCTTTCAAAACGTGATCGGAAATGGTTTGTAAACAACATTTGTAAACATATCAGTGACAGCTAAAAAAAAAAATCTTGATCCGAACAGCTTTTCGTTATTTCAGAGACGATTATGTGATAAAAATTGTACAAAAATTTGACAAAAATCGCACAAAACTGCATTTTTGAACGTCCGTAATTTTATTTACAAAGTAGTGAGGCCATATTTTAATGGCTAAAGACACTCTCGCCAATCCAGTGAATACATTAAAATGACTTGGATCTTGATAGGTACCATCGTTTTCATGGAGAAGATTGCGTAAAATGCTATCTTGAGTGTTACAGACAGACAGAAATAGAGATAAGACTTGTTTCTGCTTCTTTAACGTATAAAACGTAAAAATAACCTAAAAATTTATGATTCTGAGCAATGTACAGACAAAACTCTAATTTAATTTATATATATATATATATATATATAGATATGGAAAAGGTTATTATTTATGTACCATTTTACCTTTTTCAGTGTTTCAAAGCTACGCCTCCACACCTTCTGTTACTCCTGACGACGATGTTTTCCGCCACCTCGCACTCACATACTCTCGCAACCATCCCACAATGCACCTTGGTCAGGCCTGTAAGCAAGGCATGCCATCATTCAAGAATGGAATCACCAATGGTGCTGCTTGGTACCCACTTACAGGTGAGGTTCTTAGTCTTATACAAACGGAGGTTAGGTAAAATAGAAATAACCCATTTGTTTATTAATCGAGAAAAAATGGCAAAAGCCTAAAATATCTAAATGTAGAAGAAGATTTGATTGATCTTTCCAGTATGTATGACATGAGGTGCTTTTATTTAAAAGTTAATATCAGCTTACAAAAATAGGCCTACTACTCAATTTCTGCTCAGTATTGTTGTGATGGAGGTCTCATTTTCCATTAAGTACTGTTGGTTCATCTCTACAACACAAAGTATCTACTATTGGGTGCCAAAAATAACAATATAAAAATATTAAATTAAAATTAGTTTACAAATTTACGCTTAGTGCCAATAACCAAAGCCTGGTCACATTTTGCAAGTTTTTGGTTAACTCCAAATAAATGGTTAAACACTATTGTAATATGACATTCTGTGCATTGTGGTATTTAATTGTTTAGATTGCACCACTGGTGCTGAATTTATCGGCTCTTATTTTTTTTAATATTTGTCTGACTAATTAACCTCAATCTCTGTTGACTAACAAGTCGAGTTTTGGTGTGATTTTACTTAATCAGTTTGCATCATGATTAGTAGTGGTAAATTTGTAAATGTTTAGTTTGAATATTATTTATTGTGCCTTGACTGAAATGTGACATTACTTTTAGAAACTTGAGACACTATTTTTAGTCGGTTTTGTGAACTTTATTGACTGTTTACCAACAACAAATATCGGTGGTGTGACTGTGACTTTATCACTTTGAATCATATTTATTAGTAGTAAATATGTACATATAGTTTAAACTGTTTCTTGTGCACAAAGTTACTAAATTTGAGCCCAAGAAGCACACATCGTTGGCCCAACGTTGGGAAATGGTCGGCACGGTTGGGAAATGGTTGGCAGAAATTTTAACGATTTGCCAACGTTGGCCCAACGGAAACTTGTATTCGTTGGCCCTACAAAGGAAAGAATCGTTGGGTTTAAGTATAAAACATTCTAAAACGCATTTTAACGAATTGAGTTATTTAAAAGAACATAAATGTTATGGCAGCAGAATATAGGACAAATATTGTAAAAATTTGGATCTATAATAAATGTAGTCAGATGAAGTTGTGATACTAGATACAGTGGGGAACACCTGCTTAACATATAATAATTAATTAGGCCTATAATAATTCTATTTTTTGCAATATTCTTTAACTTATTTGAGCAAATTTTTAATAGTTATAGGGGAAAGATTAATTAATTATATAACAATCAATTATAACAGTACTAATCTACTAATAGTAATTAAATAATCTATATTCAAATACTAGTATCCTCTCCAACCACCAGAAAAACAATTCAACTACTTGAGGCCTTAACAGATTAACAGAATAATATTATACTGTAGTATCAAAAAAATTTTAAGTATTGTGACCATTGCAACTGTCGGCTACTCTTTGACCACTTGAAAACACTCATAATCAACAAGCACAGATAGCTCAGAGGTAAGGAGTGAGGCTAAGGTACCGGGTTCGAGACCCATTGGGGCCAAACTATTTTATCTAGTTTTTTTTTCAAAATTAGTTTTTATGAACTATTTAATCAATTTACTCAACTCATAATTATGTTTTTCATACTAAATCTTTATTATTTTGTGTTTTTTATGTTTAGGCCCAATGGGATGGTTGGCCCTTCCGCAAAAATTGGTTGGTTGGCCAACCGTAAGACTTATCGCCAAAACATACCGTTGGCCAACGATCGACAGAAACGTTGGGCCAACGATTTTTGCTACTTGGGAGGTTTGAACTTCAATTCATTTTGAACAATTCAAGTATACGTTTTAAAAGGTTTGCTCTGTTGGTTTAGTTTATATAAATTTTTGAAAATATGACTGCAAAATCACCAAAAATTTCTTACCACTACAGAGTTTGCCCATTGCCAGTTGGAGAGTTAAAAATATAAATGTACACTGTTTGTTAAATTATATAACTTAACATGTTTGCTACCGATCGGCACATATATGCACAATCAAAATAGGATATGGGCGATCAAAATAGACCGACCCTAATATTGAATGTCACCGATAGACTGGAGGTATTAAATTGGTCAGTAGCTCAGACCGAAAATAAAAACCTGTTATAATCAATTGATATGCAATATTCTTGCTTCCAACAACTGTTACATCTACCTACTAAATTACTTTTATATCCATAGTTTTGATAAATTAAAAAAATTACGCAAATGTGAGCCGTCGGTCTATAGCCAAATGTATAATGCAATTATACTATTGACCGCTTGTCCCATATTTGCGCCGAAAACCCAAAGCCACAAAAAACCAACTGAAACACAACTGCTGAGAAAAAACATACGCACAGTATAACCTCAACTTCACTGAGAAATACGTGGTACAGCTATGATTCGAATAAGAACGTGGTAGCAAATACAATAAAAACGAAAACAGGTGTACCCCGTATATGGTGTTGTACTAAATACACCAATCGTTAAATCCAGGGACTAAAAGCATCCCATATATGTGTCATAAATCCCCAAAGACCAATATAAAATATCAAGGCATTAAAATGGACCGATACAATCTGAAACATATTTAAATAGTCGGGGACAATGGCGCACATTTGTCTGCAGATGTGCTGAGGCTGGGGTATCAAATATCTCTCATGAAACATAATGTCATTATAGTTTACTGAGTACTGTATTTGTTGAACAGGGGGTATGCAGGATTTCAACTATGTCTGGTATGGCTGCATGGAGGTGACGTTGGAGCTGTCCTGTTGCAAATACCCTCCACCCAGTGAACTGCCCAAGTTCTGGGAGGAAAACAAACTGGTAGGTACAATTATACTGTAACTTTGATGTTCCATGACCCGATCTTGCTGGTTCGCAAGCACATTCAAGTCTATCCAGCTCTACACATTCATGCCAAATTTCATCAACATCGGACTGAAATTATTTGAGTTATCTTGGTCACAGACACACACTCACACACACACACACACACACACACATATGTATATCAAACATTGAACAAATTGTGTTTTTGGCTTCTGGGGACATCAAGATGAAAAAGTAAATCGGTCCTGGGTCTAGGTCTTTCTGTGCCACCTACGGTACTAGCTTCTTTCCTATAGGGACATTCGCTAAAACAAATATTATTATTATAAAATGTTAAATAGCTGTCATAGAGTTATACCCTACCATGATTGCCAATTAGGTAGTATACTTTAATTTGAAATAAACCCTATTAAGCTGGGGGATAAAATAATATATATTATTCAAATCTCCCAAAAATGATACAAGCCCCTCTCAAGCAAAGTAAATAAGATTACTATTATTTCACTTGATTTTCTTACTAAATTAAAATTATAAATTGGTTGGATCTTACTTTAAGTTACTGGCTCAACGGGACTCTGACATAACTAGGACGTACTAGAAGGTACCAGAAGTGGTTGATATATGTCTGAAAACACCAAACAAATGCAATATTAACTATTATTGACAATTTCTAATAATTAAATGTGGATTGAAGCATTGAAGATCCTTACAATCATTTGTGGAAATGTGCTTCTCAAGAACAAAAATCTACAGGTTTGTCTGAACTTTGCAAGTTTTCTACTCTTGTTAAACAAATTAAAAATTATTTTAAAATTATACACTTCTTTACTTTACATTCAAAATATGACTCCTACAAGTACTACCTACAGTAAATTCTCTGAAATGTTACTCTAAAACAATTTAAAATTTACTTACAATTTTCTACAGCAACCACTATTTTCCAGTCCTTAATCTCTAGTGAACTTAACTGACAATCTGCTTTAAAAACTGGTTATCATCTAGGTCTACCAACCTACAAAGTAATCTACTATGTTTCTTGCTCTTACCAATGATTATTGAGCGGAGCGAGCGAAGCTCTTTTACGTTGACTCTTATGCATTTCGTAATACGCAAACTCCTCCTAGACGGCTGAATCAATCGTTTTCAAATTTTGCATGGTGATAAAGACCATATCGGTGAGTGCCAACATCTATATGGCGTTAAAAAAGTCTCTCAGGAATCTGCCCCACTGGGTCTCAAAGTTTCAATATAATCCTTATGGAAGCAGTATTTGACACATAAACAAAGACATATGATTAGCTGTTGACTTTTGAATGCAATAGATAAAGAAATAGCTGATAGGATTATTCCACAGATATTAGAACAGAAACGGTATGGATCATAAATATAATCAAATGACGACACTAGCTTGAGGTCTGTGACGTAGGAAGTGGTGAAGTAAGTAGTAAAGGTGAGCAGTCTGGAGTGTGGAAACTGTTAATGACGATTAGATTTAGGTATCTGCATTCCTAAAATTCTATGGGAAGGGAGGAAAACAGGTCCACGACGTAGGAAGTAGACAAGGCGAGCTGTCCGGAGTGTGGGAACTGTTTATGACGATTAGATTAAGGTATCTGCAACCCTAAAATGCTATTGGAAGGGAAGGAAACAGGTCCGCGGACGTAGGAAGTGGTGAAGGAAGTAGTAAATGCGAGCTGTTCGGGGTATGGGTTCTGTTTATGACCATTAGATTAAGGTATCTGCAATCCTAAAATCCTATGGGAAGGGAGGGAAACAGGTCCGCGAAGTAGGAAGTGCGGTGAAGGAAGTAGTCAAGGCGAGCTGTTCGGAGTGTGGGAACTGTTAATGACGATTAGATTAAGGTATCTGCAATCCTAAAATGCTATGGGAAGGGAGGGAAACTGGTCCACGACGTAGGGGGTGGTGAAGGAAGTAGTAAAGGTGAGCAGTGTTGAGTGTGGGAATTGATTAATGTATCTGAAATGCTAAAATGCTATGGGAAGAGACTGTAGACTGCAGGTTAAAATTATTACGAAGCACGAATCGATACATGCAATCGTTTACAATAGAAATTTACAACTGAGTTGACAACAGCTGATTTTTACTCCATAGAGGCTAAAAACGATTTTTACTCCCTAAAGAGAAAAAATGCTACTTTAGACCCGCAACGCATACATTAAAAACTACTGCTTTTACTGCAGTATGACAAAAACAATATAATATGAACCCTTGATGACTCCGCTCAATTTTGTGGATGCCTCTGGGAAAGCCACCTAGTAAATATAGTTTTGTTTTTGTCATTTCAAAACTGTTAATATTATTTTATTTGGTACAGAGTATAGTCATATTTTTGTCAACATGGCGCTCGCTGCCATCTAGGCACATGCAAGAAATGAAATGGTAGGTTATTATCTCCTGGGGTTTCACTTGTCCAATAAACTACGTGTTTAGAGGCGGTTCACAAGCTCCAGATTTTATGGTACTCTTTTATCGATGCCTCTAACAGCGTAGTTATGGGGACAAATGAAACCCCAGTAGGTGATACGATAAGCGCATAATATAAAAGCAGGGTCGCCCCATGCGGATGATAAAAAATAATAGCCTGTCTGAACTATATGTTATAAGGTTGATGTTTAATTAGTAACGAGGGTTTTTAAATAAGCTCATATATTATAACTGAACCTATTTAAATGGTACAATTAATTGGAATATCCATGTATTAAACTAAAATGTACAGTAAGATGATCAATGGAGGATGAAGGGTTCAGATTTCTGTATTTGGAGGGATTTTGGATGTATAAATAGTATGTAGGTTCTGAGATTTACTCAGGGAAATTCATGATTATAAAGTTTAAAAACATCAGTTTAAAAGCATCCCATTCATTGACCAAACAATGCATTTCTTTCTCTAGATTTCCTTCTGATCAACGTAAAAATAAAAATTACTCTAAGTGTAAGTTTATGTGCTGAACTTCCTCCTAATTCTATCAAAGTAGGACTATTTAAACATTTGGTCGGTTCATAGTTGAGACCATATTAAAGTGTTTATTTGCTTCTTTGTCCTCATTTTTACGTATTTAATTGTGAAAAGTATGATATATTTTTTAATTCTATATGGATACATTATAATTTTGTTTGGAAAACATTTTAATGTTTATATTTAAAAGCTTATCATCGACTGATTCCTAATTTAATATCCACTGGTTCCATTACCCCGTTATCGAAACAATCACATAATTACTTTACATAAGCATTGACATGCATTTTTTTTTTTGAAACGTAATGAAACGGAAACTACCTCTATGTTTTACTTCTTTTACTGTTGTATATATCTTTCCTATCTATACTATACATGCATAGCTATATTAAATAAACCTTTTTCCCTTGGAGAAACAAACAGTAACAAATTTCCTTCCAACAATATTACTTTTCCGCCCATTTGAACTTGTCATAGTATAATTACTAGTGAAAAAATATATTGCTTGTGGCCTGTACGAACATATTTCACCTTTCTTCCCAGGTTATTTTCTAAGAGTAACAGTTGGGATTATTCCACTTCATAAAATTATTGATTAAACATTACAATAAGCGTCAAATTAAAACACATCAATAACCTATACAATTTGAAGAAATGTAAACATAGTAAAATAATTTTTACCTACGACCGTTTTTTAAAGTAGCCATTTCAGTCCAGTTCTTAGAATTGAAAAGTTTCACTTTACAGCTGTTTACTTTTATATCAGCATAGTTTCATTTCATATCAGCATAGTTTTTCTCATATCAACAAGGGTAACGGACCAATGAGATTCAAGTATTGAGAGAAAAGAATTAAAATATTAATGCTTCGAACGTCAACTAATCAGCTGATCAGCTGATCAGTTGACCAATTTAATTGTTGATCCGACTTGTTCATGTTGATACTCGCGTATTCTTAATTAAGTTGGTGGAAGTCCAAAAATAAATGAAATATTTGCCGAATTGTACCTGATACAATATTATTTATAGTAAGATTGCTGCTAGCAATGTAATATTTAACGAAGTTTAACAAACACGTAATTACAGGAAATCAGCTGATTATACAACAAGTTGTTGCATCACTTTCCGTGGCAATGACAATACATGAAAACATAACCTCTCTAAAAAGTCATCAGTAGTGATTGTTAGTAATTATATCCAGATTGATAGTAATTAAAAAACGGTCGTAGGTAAAGTAGTGTACGCAACTCGCGTTAATAGTCTTTACGACACTCGTAGAAGTTTTTAAGGCACTCGCCAATGCTCGTGCCTTAAATTTTCTACTTGTGTCGTAAAGACTCACTTAACGCAATCGTTGCGTAAACTGCTATTTAACTTTGTGAACATATGGTTTAAGGGTGTTTGGTCAAAAAATTAAAATTCCGATTTTTATGTTGGAATGTGTTTGTTGCAATGTATTAAAACTAAAACGAGGTTTAGAAAAAATAAAAAAAATTTTGTTTGATAATTACAAGGGGTTAAAGTGCTGATATTTAGGTATTTTTGTACTGACAATAAAAAAAAACCATTGGGAATTTCGAAATAAAAAAAAACATTTTCATATTAAACATTTCTTCATGTAAGCAATGAATAAAATTATTTAAAAAAATTTTTTTTTCTTTAATTTTTTTATTTTACAACTTGATTATTAGTTGAGTGTAATTCTAAAACTTAATGCTAGTGGTTTTAATATATCTGGGTTTAATCAGTTAGAGTAAAGACATTTTAAAATTGTTTCTATGTGCAACAGTTCCGTCTCAATATTGGTACATGTAACACCATGTCAAGTCGACGCGCGGCACTGCAAGTGTAGTGGTGATCATCTACAGTGCCCGCACGCGCCGTCAACGCCAAGTGCGCACGGCCGCAGGCTGCCTTGGTCTTCGCTCTCTCTCCCACCTTTCCTCTCTCCACCTCGCACACCTGTGGCCCTTCCCACACTGTCTTGTTTGGCGCGAAATCTTCACAATTTGACAGCC